AAACCTGACTTCGCCTTTACCTGAAAAGGAAAATATGAGATGTGTAAACACGTTCAATGCATCAATCTTCAAACCGTTCACAACTACATCTACCAATCATTTAATATCAACTAGCAACGCAATCTATTTGTTATATACCATAGCACTGTGGCATCTATTCTATTATTAATTGTTAGACAACAAACTTGAAATGTATTCAACAAAGGAAAAGCATGAGATGGGGTAATTGGAATGAGATGTTTTTAGAGGTGTATCCAGAAGATAAGAATTATATGGGTACGTACGTGTGGAATCTTCTGCCAACTAATTGACCACATTTCGCTTGTGTCATGGGACATATGATGATATGAATTTAGCAAAAAAAAAAAAAACATATGATGTATGACTCAAGTTGTGATGGAAATTCTATAGATCCCAACGTTTATGGACCTCTCCAAAACTTTGAGTCATTATTTCTGTTTCCGTGTAGTCATTTGAACATTTGTTATGAACGTTGACACTCCTCTATGATCTCATTTTATCCTCTAAGATGGATTACTGGCAACGTGATTTTTGTAATGTTTGGGAAATTTTGAATCCATGGGTATATATATATATTGGTGTTACTTTTAATAATGTAGTCTTTCTTTTTTTGTTCACAAATAATGTAGTCTTCTGTACAATAGATATCATCCAACATAATAAAACCCTATCTCACCCAACATAAAAATTTCATAAAAAAAACATAAATAAGTCTCCAAGAAAATTACGTTCTCAGTAACCAAATGGTCTAACCAGTAAAGTAACTCGTCTTTTTAAAGAAAAACTAACTCATTGTTTATGCAATTTACGATTTAATTTTTCAGTTCACGAAAATGAAGTTGACTGAAAAATATAATCAGGGTTTTATATAAACGCCATAAACTACTTTTCACAGATATTTTATATTTCTTTCAATAAGATGGTGTTTTTTTTTTTTTTTGAAAGAAATATAAAATGTCTGTGAAAGTAGTTTATGGCGTTTATATAGAATTAGTTTCAAACTATTTTAACGTTCAAGATTATATGCATGTAGTTCGTATAAAAATAAGCAGTATAGTGAGAAGTTGGGGAATGTGATTGCAATTTGCAAAAACAGTATGGGAACGTACGTGTTTCGCTATAAAAACGTACGTGAAGAAACATATTATTCACTGAAACAAAATGTATGAAACCAAAAGTCATATCAAATGATAATTATTGTTGGAGAATTTTTAGGTGGTGGAGAGCCGCAAAAGTGGCACCTCTCATATTTTAGAAAATTTCGGGACCAAGAGATAGCCAGGGAAGGAAACAAAGAACGAATAAGAACAAGAATGATTTAACAAACCCATGATCATTGTTATCATTCACCTACCACGTCACTCCTCTCTTTTGTCCTTTTCTTCCCACTTTAAATATCTGTTTTAACTTGCCCTCGAAAAACGCAGAATCGTTTCGTATTTTCTCATACTTTTTCTCAAAGATTCTGATACCTTTCATCATAAATATCGAAACAAACGGAAAGATGAAAACGTATATACCACTAGTCCATGAATACTGATGAATATTATTACAACATTAGACATTTTACCAAAAAGGATGATAGATACATGCATCCTCGTTTAAAATACAAAGTTGGAGTTACCGAAATAAAATGTTTTAAAACGTTTAATTTTTCTTTGTTACAAATTTTAAACTAAATATAAGAAAATGATGGGAGTCCCAACTCCGGAAAATGGGGATTAAAACAGGAGAAAAAGAGCAGAAACATAAATTATGCCGAGGACACGACAGCAGAGAGTGCCAAGTCAGCATCTGATGACGTGGCATATAGCTATCGCGTGTCTCTACAAACTCTAAACGAAACGGCTATAGCGTTTGGAGAGGTCACGTGAGGTGTTCAAGATTTTCCTTTTTCATGCTATCAGTATTAATTACGCCTCTCCTGTAACGCATTAATTTTTTTTGTTTCATTACCTCCTTAATCACGTAATAGTTAGGAGTTTTTTTGTTTTGTTTGAGAAAGGACTTGTAAGAATTAGGAGTTTCGCCTAAAACATGCATGATTTATCGTTTTCTTTTGTTATTACAAGGCCAAAAAACGTGTGAGTCTATATTCAGAGAACTTGGATTAGGAGATGTGAATGGTTTTCATTTATTTCCTTTTCTTTCGATTTTTGTATGAGGTGAATTTACATCCTCCACAAGATCCAGGAAATAGAAGATTTAGCCCATTAAGTTTAAAGTACCGGTTTAACCCGCGGCTAAAATATCCAATCCGGTTTGAGACTGTTTTTAGCCAACGAAGCCTTTTTCAAATCGACTAAAAGCACGACGACTAAAAACGGATGGCTTAGGCCATGTCTATTAGCAAACTTCTGTGAGGTTCACCACGTGGAGTTTTTTTATTTTTTTCATTTATTTTTTCTAAAAAAATAATAATAATAATAATTGGACTAATCGCGGGCCGCCACTATTGTGGACCCGCAAAATAGTGATGAACTCAGCTTTTTCCAGTCATCCCCCACGATACAGGTTCACCACTTTTTGTCTCGAAATACATGTGATCCCTCCTTATAATTCTTTAATGGAGTTGCTCTTAGTAATATAACTACCAGCCCGTTCACTAGGTCTCGTATGAAAGCCCATTAAGATGAACCGGCCTAGGACATCCAAGAGGTAAACACCTATATAAAGAAAGAAAGGGGTATTAAAAAGGGATCCGAAATCATCTGCACAGACTTGGTGGCTAGAACTAGGATTTTAACACCTTTGTATTTTGTCAATTTGTACTTTCCCGGCCATCTCTCCGAGCACCAGCTTACTTCCTCTGTTTGTTTCCTTATTTGTAAACCAGCAAATTCTTTCCAACTTAATAAAACACTTTCGAACTAATCCACCGATGAGTTTCGTCCTCCTTACTGATTTTGACCTAACTCAGTTCAAACAGTTGGCGCCCCTAATCAACCGAGCTGCAGCAGCGACTAAAAGCCTCTACTGTAGATTCATAGTAGTCGTATCCCTCATCGCTCTCGATGAATCGAGTTAAATTCATTGAGAGGATTTTGTTTGACCCTCGTATCCTCGACGGGACTAGACACGGTGGCGAACGCTTTCCCTTTCTGCTCTTGAGACAACCTTTTCCTCGGATGCATATTATTATCGACGCTATCTATTCACAACAAATCTAGAGAGAGAAGTGGAGGGAGTAGAGAGAGAAGGTATCTGCGAACGCTGAAGAATGAAAATAGCAAAAGAGGGATCCCTAATTTATAGAGAAGGGGACACACACTTTCCGAACCGTAATAATGAAGTCTAACCGGGCTTCAAATGGGCCTCAAAGGGGCCTCAAAACCACCCAACTACCCACATCTACTCGTGACGCTTCACCTTCCGACCTAAACCAGCACGAACCAGATAACTGGTTTAGACTTAACCAACTATCCCAACTTCAAGCTTGCGTAAAAGGATACGAGGAGAGCGCACAACAAACAATAGAAAATAAAAAAAACGATGAACAGATCGATCTGATCCCACCAGCAAAGCGAAGGATCGACAAACAATAAGACACTCCACGTGCTAAACCCGTCTATTTCCGGAACCTGGTATGCAGATTCACTGAAAACGTCTATGTTGTTCATAAGTGAATTGGGGGGGGCTTATTGTAGCAGGTGAATTTGCATTCCCCGCAAGGCCAAGAAAATAAGGTTTAGCACATTAAGCTTAAATAATCGACTTGAGCCACGGCTAAAGTGTCCAATCCGGCGTGAGACTGCTTTCAGCCAACAAAGCCACTTTCGAATCTGTTAAAATCAGGACGACTAAAAGCGGATGGCTTAACAACCTACCAGCCCGTTCACTAGGCCTTATACGAAATCCCATTAAAATAAACCGGCTTAGGGGATCCAGAAGATAAAGACCTATATAAAGGAAGAAATGAATATTAAGAAATGATCTGAAATCATCTACACAGATCTGGCGGCTAGAATTAGAGTTTTAACATTTTTGTATTATACTGAGTTATACTTTTCTGGCTAGTTCTCATAGTACCGGTTTACTTCATCTGTCTTTTTTGACTTAATAAAATGTTTTCGAACTCATCAACCGACGAGTTTCGTCCTCTTTACTGAGACCTAACTCGGTTCAAACAACTTTGATTAATCATTGAAAACACCATAAATTTTACAGATTAACGGCGTTCATTTTCTGCGTATAGATGCTTTTACTATAATTGGTTAACCTAATCATCATCTACAAATTTCTAGCTGTTTTAGATCTGTTATGATTAATATCACCTAGACTCCCTTACATATACTAATTTACAAAAAGCTATCCCAATAAGCAAATTATATGTTTCGTATTTTAACAAGGTCTATTTATTTTATCCATCAAATAGATAGGTGGGATATGTTGAATCGCTCAACTATGAACTAAAAATATCAAAAGAAAATATACAATCATTGTAATCTAGTGATGATTTCCACTATCTTGGTTGATGTTGGGTAGACTTTTGGTCACCATGAAATTCATCAATCGTGTATAAAGTAAAAATTTACTATGGTATTAATCTGATATTTGAAAGCTAGTTTAAGGAGATGGCGTGAAGAAAATGAACTTGTGGAAGAAAAGGAGTAGAGTTTAGTGAATGATAAAATGCTACGCAACCTACTAATTTCTCCACTTGTCATGCAACAAGGCTGAGTTCGTTTTCCCTTTTCGATTCTTTTTTTTCTCTTTTGTTTTGTTATACTCAACACGTCACACGCTTCAAATAACTCAAAATTTTTAAATCAAAATAGTTTGACTATATGATTATTTTGGAGCTATATATAACCCACCTGAGACTCATTAGTTTCCACCATGAAATAAGAAGAAGCATCTTACAGAGAGAGAGAGAAAGCGGGAGGGAGAGTGAGAGCTTTAGGGTTTCAAAAACTGAGACCCTTTAGAAATCTCCGTACGGGAAAAGCTTCATCTCGATCTATAAGAAAATGGGCGTCATGGTCAGTCACCACTTGCTCGCTATCATCTTCGGCATCTTAGGTAATGTACCAACGATATACTCACAAATCCAAATCCTAGTCTATTCCTCAGCTATTCCTTTTTCGACCTCGCATGGTTCTTTTTTATGACAAAACCTCTCATGGTTCTTCTATTTCATAAATATTAAAAACAGTGGACGGTTCATTATATTAGCTAGTTAACTAGACGAGAAGTTCATCATGCATGACCCACCTACCAATATATGTACATACATATAATTCGTACTTTGTTTCCAGATTTTTCTTCATTTAGAAACAAAGAAGAGCAATTAGTGGTCTTCTTATTCCGTAAATAAAATCCCAAAATTACCAGAAAATAAATAAATACGAAAGCTTTACAGAATGAAATCATCACGCATTGTTGTCCATATTCTCGGTACGTGTAGTACGGTTAAAGGAAAAATTTATATAATTCCCCGTTGAGGTTGGTTAGAGAACTCGTCTTGTTTCATTCATGTCACCACAAAACTAGAAGCTTTCTAATTCTACAACCAACTCATTTATTTTGATTGCTTTCTCCTCGCAAAATTACAGGAAACGCAATATCCTTCTGTGTATTCCTCGCTCCAGTGTAAGTACTTACAATTTCTCTATTAATTATTCAATCGGCATTGAGATTGCTTATTTAAGAAAATAATTATTTGAGAATGATTAGCTAAGATAAATTTCCATGCTTTTACTTTTATTTTTATTTTTAAAAGGCTTAATTTCCATGCATTTCTCTTGTGAAATTTTGCAGGCCAACGTTTTATAGAATATACAAGAACAAATCAACTGAAAGTTTCCAGTCTCTACCATACCAAGTGTCACTATTTAGCTGCATGCTATGGCTCTATTACGCATTGACTAAACAAGACGCTTTTCTCCTAATCACCATCAACTCTTTCGGCTGCGTCGTGGAGACTATCTACATCGCCATGTTCTTCGCTTACGCTACCAGGGAGAAAAGGGTAATTTTCTTTAATTTTCCCTCCTTTGATTTATTACTAGAATGATGGCTCTAAATATTATCTTATGCGTTACAGATCGCGGCTATGAAGTTGTTCTTAACGATGAACGTTGCATTCTTCTCGTTGATTCTAATGGTTACACATTATGCGGTTAAAAGCCATAGCATCCAAGTCTCTGTCATCGGCTGGATTTGCGTTTCTATATCTGTTTCTGTTTTCGCTGCCCCTCTAATGATCGTGGTAACTACGCGTTTTGCGTTTTGTTATATTCACAAACTTATTTTAATATAAATCAAAACTTTGGGTTAACATAATGTTGATTTATGTTTTTTTTTTTGGTTGTAAAAAAGGCGCGTGTGATAAAGACCAAGAGTGTGGAATTCATGCCCTTCACGCTTTCGTTCTTCCTCACACTAAGCGCTGTTATGTGGTTCGCATATGGCTTATTCCTCCACGACATATGCATAGCTGTAAGCATTTATTTTCCTAAAATTTCATGTTTTTTTTTTTGTAAAATAAAGAAGGTAAAAGGCTAGGTTGCATGAAAACTCCGGTTAAGGTCCGTTTCTTGTTTCGAAAACGTTTCGGAATTAGAATATTTTGGAAACTTGAAAAAAAATTTTGGAAACACTTTTCAAAAATATTTCATTTTGGAAACACTATGGAACTTGCGTTTCTGATTTAAAAACTCGCGATTCTAATTAGAAACGCGAAATAATAACTATTTACTATTTGTGATTATGCATTTATTAACTTGTATTTTAATATTAGCTATCATTTTAGTATAATGGTTTGATCTAAAATGAAGCCGGCTCCATAATTTTATTAATAATAATATGTGTTAGTTTTCTAATTATTGATTAACTTTTTTATAAAATGTATCATGAAAAATAACATTTATATTACTTAATGTCTCTCTTAAATAAACCAAACAAAAAAATTAAACATATATGTTACTTAATCATATATATAGATGTTTCTAAAATGTTTCCATTTCTAATTTTTAGAAAAATCATATTAGTACGTTTCGAAACTTTTCGTTTCCATCAATCCGTTTTTCGGATTCCATGCAATTTAGGTAAAAGGGTTAATAACTTTAAATGATATTTGTAGATTCCAAACGTGGTGGGATTCATACTAGGGATGGTACAAATGGTTTTGTATGGAGTTTACAGAAACTCAGGAGAGAAAGTAGATATTGAGAAAAAGATTAACAATTCATCATCAGAACAGCAACTTAAGACTATTGTCGTGATGAGTCCTTTAGGTGTGTCGGAAATGCACCAAGTTGACGTCAAGGTGATGGAACCGGTGATTCCACTCTCTTACACTGTTCATCATGAAGATCCATCCAAAATTACTAAAAAGGAGGAGCCCTCAACTTAAGCGGGACAAGGCCATGTGGAGACTGCCCCGTCTTGAATCTGTTAAGTGTCGCCAATATATATATTTGTTTCAAGAAGAAGAAGAAACATATATCTCTCCCACTCTCTCTCTTCTTACTCTTGGCTCCTCGGCCAGCTAAAGAATGGAACTGTATCGGTGATTTGTATCCATTTTTTTTCGTATCTTATTTATTGGTATTGGTGTGCTTGCATAAGTTTTGTGTTTAAATTTTTTTACTTTTTAAAGTAAAAGTGAATATGTGTTCCAAAAAAAAAATAATAATAAAGTGAATATAGTATCTTCGTAATCTTGTATCTATAGTGCTCTTACAAAACTCAATATGAATATATCACTCCTACTACCAAGCTTTCTGAGTCTCTGACCACCTATTTTTGCTGATTACATTTGATGTCGCCATCAGAAAACGAATTCTACAAGGCCCTATCGATGATAAACTCTCCCACGAAGTTTGAAAATTTACAACTTGACACAAAGTTTTCTTCGGTCGACATAAAGGGAAGTTATAAGTTGCATAGAAGTATACAGTGTACAAAACCTTTTTCTTTCTGTAACTTGGGTTTCATATTTAAGCGGTAGACAAATATTATTAAGCTATAGTTTAATTTGGCTTATACCAGTGCATTAGCTACAACAACCCAATACTGTATATAAAGTTAACCAATAGATAACATACTACCGTCAAGTATATGTATATAATCGGGTAGACAAACTATTTCTTCATGAGTACTATTGAGAAGTACCAAAAATCTCCTGAATTATGACTTCGTATTATTTGTCTCCAAAATTAAAGTTTGAAACTTATTTTCTCATCAATCTTGATTTTTCACCGTTTCTGAACACCAAAACTAAAATCTTGAATATCGTACAATAATCTGAACAAAACCAACCAAGATAGAGTAATACCCTGCCAAAAATAAATCCAGAGCTGAACAAAAATCCAGCCGACATTCCAAAACTTAAAAATATGAAAGAACAAAATACCTCAAATCAATTTCAATAAAAAAAACCTAAAATTGTTGGTTTGATTAAAAATAGTAAACCAATATAAATCGATTTCATACATTTTTTATTCGATCTTTATACGATCATGTTGAAATATTGAGAAAAATTATATTCATGGCGAGAAAATTTGAATTTTGTTTTTGATGATAGCATGAAGTCATATTTTGGAAGTGATTTGATGCTATATGATAATACTTGTAGAGAGATATCTCATTGACAATATTTCGTCGACCCTATATAATCCTACTAAATCTTAATAATACATCTTATATATTAAAATAGAAGTCATGACTTAACTTCATGTGTGATTTTTAAAAAAAATTGGACTACTACTAGAAAGTTATGTTACATTAACTCTCTAATAATCTTATCATTATTATATCCTATGAAAAATCATATCTATAATAATAAAGATACGCTTAACAATTTGGTTTTGGTAAATTATCTCACACCTTCCAACTTAGTCACGCAAAATATTTCAGTAGATATAAGTTTAGGAATCTTCTATTATTAATAAGGAAATATGTCAATAATAATTAAATACATCCACAATATATTAACAAAAATCACAGCTTAGTAATATGGAATATTTATATACTCTAACAAAATTTACACGCTATATATATTAGATAAATTTATTTCCATGTAAATATTGAATATTATATTGTTTAAAAAAAAGAAATTGCTGAAAAAATTCCTTTTAAATAAAATTCTTTATAATAATAATTTATGAAGCTATAAGTTTAGTTTTTAGCAAAAATTTCTTCGAAGTTTATATTATCGTTGCAAATTAAAGTATACTAATATTTAATCATGTTCTATTTATATTACTTTATCTAAAATGAAATAATAATCTAACAAACAATAAAATATAGAAGAAGAAACAAACAAATGTTTGAAAAATATGTATAATACAGAAAATTTGAAACATTTATTATATAATATTTGATTAAAACACTTATTATATAATATTATTATGTTTGAAAAACATTTACTATACATATTGTAAATATGTGATTACTATAATATATACCAATTTACAAGTGAAAACAAAATGTTTATATAACTAACTTAAACAAAAACAAAAACACGCGCGGTTGCGCGGGTCCAAATCTAGTTTAAGTTTAATTTAAATGCGAGCTCTAGGGTGGTTTATATATATAGGGAATAACTCGTTTTAAGAAAATCAAATAAATTTCAGACGTACGTTCCTATGTTTTTTGGGCGTTAAAACGTTCCGCAATGTTTCAATTAAGGTTGTCTGTGCTAGATAATGTGTAATTCATGTAACGTTTGTACAATGCCAAGCTGAATTACATCATCATTTACTAATCAGTGACAATCAGTCTGTAATACTGACTAAAAATAGTTGCGTAAAGTCAATTTAATATTATGCGATTAAACTATCGTGAATCATTTATATATGTTGTCACATTTATAAATGGATAACACACATTTTGTAAAATAAAATAATAATAATTTTGTCTAATATATATAAAATTTAATAAATTCAAAATAATCATATCGTACTAGTTTTTTGCTGACTGTCTTTTTCTTTATTTATTTTGCTAAAAACAACTGAACATAGTTCGAGTACGTGATAATTCCTCAGAATCAATAGTCATTCGACTTATTCCCAGTAAAAAGAAAAACAATTTCGAAGATAAAATCCCCATTTGAAGAGAGTTAAAAACTTGATAAGACCAACCATATTCTTAGAGCACCCCCATTGAGAGTTTAAATGGGGGGTTCACACGGAAACCGAAAAAATAAAATAATAAAATAACAAAAATCTATGAACCCCTCTTTCCTAAAGTTCACCCGGGTGAACCCCTCTCTCCTAAGGTTCAACACGTGTCGGCCCGGAATTGGTCTAGGTCTTTTTTTTTTCTTTTTTTTAAAAAGAAAAATTCAAAAAGAAAACAAATTTTTTTTAATAATATAAAATTGATTCAATGAACCCCAAGAGGAGGTTCATTGATGTGGATGCTCTTACAATATCTATAGCTATACCTAAAATAATTCTCAGATTGCAAGGGCATGTGACCCACGTTGTCCAAAACTACACAATACATCACATAGACACAAAAGAAAAAGAGTCTACAAACACTAACCTTGATTCTTGGATCTTTGTTATTCAATCATCCATAAATTAGCCACATGTGACACATCACAAAACTAGAAAAGACTACAAAAATTCACATGAACATCATCTCAGTTAAGAGTTTTCTTATTTAAAAAGTCCCACCTTTTGCCCACATTGCAACATCACATGTTATTTGCCCACATTGCAACATCTCAGTACAACAACTTTTTTTGCCAATGTTATTTTTTTCTTTAATGTGTTTTTTTCTTCTATGTTTCAGAACAAATGAGAGTTTGAGATATAAGAACAAAAAAAGGGGGTTTAAACCCCCAAACCGGTTTTAACCGGTGCTGTTACTCTCTGAAGTTCCTTGCTCACTCAGTCTCCGTTTCTCCCTCAAACTCTCTCCCCACATTTTAGCTTCTGCAACCGCACGTTCCCTATTGATATCTCTGTTCAACATCCTAGCCGTCTCTCTAGGCGAGTCTTCTTTCTCAGAACCTTCTAAATCAAACTTACTTCCAGAGACACCTCCTTCATCGTTCCTTGTCATTAACCTCGCCCCTCTCTCATTCTTGCTTGGATCATAAGCTTGGTTCGCAAGATACGAGAGTGCAGTAACCACATCTGCTATGAGAGGACGTGAAGCCGCCTGCTCTTGGATGCACATTGAAGCCACAGCTAATGCTTGGTACAATGCACGTGTTGGAAACCTCCCTTTTAACTTTGGATCAGCAAGTTTTATAAACTTTCTCCTATCATTGAACAATGGACGAGCCTGTTGTATAAAAAAAAACAAACCAAAAACTTGTTATTACATAAGCAAATGAGAAACTGAATGTGTAAAAAAACTATTTATTTACCCATGCCACTAGATTCTGCTCCCCATGAGGCATGTCAGTATCTATTGCTTTCCGACCAGTAATGAGCTCAAGAAACACAACACCGAAACTATAGACATCTGATTTAACCGTTAACTGTCCGGTCATTGCATACTCGGGAGCACAGTAACCATAAGTGCCCATGACTCTAGTGGAGACATGAGATTTGTCACCTGTTGGTCCGAGTTTAGCAAGTCCAAAGTCAGAAAGCTTTGGGTGGAAACCTTCATCCAGTAAAATGTTTGAAGACTTGAAGTCTCTATAGATAACCGGAGGGTTTGCCTTATCATGTAGAAACTCCAAACCTTTGGCTGCACCAGCAGCTATCTTCATTCTCATGTTCCAATCTAAGGCCTCCTTATCCGGTGGAAGATCTGAACCAGAGGAGAATAAAAATATAATAAAGTTCATTTACATAAACAATCAAGTGAAGAATGTGCTAATAAACTAAAGGGTTGACATTTGACTAAAGATGAGAAGGAATCATTGGGATGATATTTGACTAAGTTCACATCACAAAGAGTCTAAAAAAATGGTAAAAAATAAGGATAAAGATAATCACACTACCGTGGAGGTGATCTTCTAAGGATCCTAAGGACATAAACTCGTAGACCAAGAGGCGTTGATCACCATCAGCACAGTAACCAATAAGGTTGACTAAGTTGGAATGATGAAGAAGGCTGAGCATGAGAACCTCTACTAGAAACTCTCTGTTACCTTGTAAACCATTCCTATCCAACTGTTTAACAGCAACAATCTGACAGAGAGATGAAGACAAATAGTTTAGAGGTTACTATACCATTAATGTATGCAAATGCCATTCAAAGTAAGATTTACCTGACCAGTGCTGTCAAGCCTTCCTTTATAGACACGTCCAAAACCACCTTCACCTAAGAAAGTGTCAGGATGAAAGTTCAAAGTAGCAGCAGCGAGCTCACGGAAAGCAAATGTATGAGCAGAAATTTGTCCAAGCCCATCTCTTGGAAGAAGTAGCTCCGTTTTTGAGACTCCATTGCTCTTTGAAGTAAGCTTCTCCCCACCTGCACAAAACATCATCAAGAGTCCCAAATCAAGTTTTACCAAAACGTATCCATCCACAGTCTTCTAAACCCTAAAACAAACCTAAACTTAAGGAGCAAATCAGCATTAAACCAAATCTAAGATCCTGATCTCAAATTCAGTTAGATCATGTTCCCTTCTCCACAAGGCAGAAAATTTATAATTAGATTGAAACAAAGTGAAAGTGAAGCAAAGGTTCATCTTTGTCCAAGTAATTCAATTACAGAACATGCCCAACAAGCAAAAAAGCAGCTCACAAGTTGTTAGGGACCAGAGTGAGATCAAACCACGTTAGTCTAAACAGGATCAGATCTTGAGAGGATAAAAAAAGAAGAGTGGATTTGAATGGAAAGACCTGAAGGTAGTGCAGACAAGTTATTAGATAGTGTCGGCTGTGAATGTTTCTTCTGAACCTTGGATGATTCCTCAGCTTGATTCAGCTTCTCATCGTCACTCGAATCAAAACACGAGAAACAACCCATCTCCCTCCTCCTCCACTCAAGTAAACAAAGCTTTGCAGAAACCTCTTTGAGGAAATCAATGAACAGAGAGAGACCAATGGAGAAGTAAAAGAAAAAACGATAAAGGTGGAAACTTTAGCTATACCCGGAAATAAAGGAGGGAATTGAGAATCTGTGTATCAAGAAAAAAAAAAACAACTTTTTTGTGTTCAGATTCGAATTTAGAGTAGAGAGAGAGAGATGATGAGAGGAAGCAGCTTGTGTTTTGTCGTCCACGAGTGTTCACACACTAATTAATGACGCGTTTGCGGAAACTCTCAGTTAAATCTTTCTTTCCTCTCTCTCTCTCAACTTGTTCGTTCGTTGACGATAATAATCTTTTTTTTTTTTAATTTTAGTTAGTGTAATGACGACGAGATAATCTTCCATTTCAATCACTTTCCTTTTTTATGCATATTCCTGCAAGTGATAAAATTCCTTTCTTTAGTCAAACATTAATAATATTATTTTTAAATATCCGATTTGTTTCTTTGTTAACCAATATTCCAAATTGATAAAAAAAAAAAAAAAGACAGAAGAACAACTTTTCTACATGTTTCTGTCACTTTTTTTTATGTGATTGATAAATGTCGATTTCATTGCTACTTACTAATTATATAAAAGGAAATCATCTAAACTAAAATGGCAACAAAATAGAATAAAGATCAATTCAATGCTACTAATTACGGTAATAACTCTATCCACTTTGTGGCAGATATATATAGTTACGGTAATAATCTATACTTTTTTTTCTGTCGACCACGGTAATAACTCTGTCCTTTTTTTTCTGTCGACCACGGTAATAACTCTATCCTTCTTTTTTTGTCCACAACGGTAATAACTCTATCCACTTTGTCTGAACTGTATTGTGAAATTGCAATAAGTTTGGCCCATGGCTCAGGTATGAAAATAACGGTCTTTAAAGCTCATATTTTAGGCTTTCTGAGATTAAGGCCCGGCCCTGAATTACATTTTGTTCTTAAAGAAGGTGATTTATATGAGCCCGAATATAATATGAATTGCTGATTACATACATTTTTATCCCAACATTTTTTAAAATCAGTTAGTTTGATCAGGTTGAGTTTGTGGTTAATAGTACAATTACAAAAAAGGTAATAAAAAACGAAGAACATAAGGAAAAAGAGGGATCATGACTCCCTCTCGAGTCAACGCCGTAAAAGAACCTCAGAGACAAAAAAAAAACGCAGTTAGATAGATAGGGAGCTAGGCATGAAATTATCTTCAAAATGTATTTGAATATTTGTGAATCGTGTGTGTTTAAATGATGTTTTTCATGATCGTTGATGACCTAGATAGAAGCAAAGCATGTATATAATTTGGCTTTATCAGAACTTCAAGTCTTTCTCTGAGTGGAGAGCTAAGTCAATACATGATTTGCAGACTTGGGTCACAAGAAAGCAATTAACCCTTTTTATCAACCAAGAAAATGACATAGATAACATGCTTTTATTTTAAAATTAAGTGTGGGGTTTTGGCTCTTAATCTGTTGGATTAGATCTGTATTAAGAAAAGTAATCGCAAACTTTTTTGGAGGTTCTTTTGGTAAGCAAAAGACACCAAATAAATCTCTTCCTCATGAATATATTTTTCACATTGTAACAGCACAATGAGCCAAAAAAAGGCTCTTCACATGTCTTTGTTTGGTAGCGGATAGAATAAAAGAATTATAGTTAAACAGTGGTTGGGGTCAAAAATTCTAGATCACGGACTGAACATATTGCAATCACACACACACACACACACACACACACACACACACACACACACACACACACACACACACACACTTGTATACATTATCATCAAAAAAAGAACAATAGAGAGTGAAAGAGAGATTAGCCACAATGTATCTTCAACTTCTCTGTCTTGTCCTTCTAGCTTCTTGCTTCCAACATCAAGCTTTTGGCCGTGGTCATCACCGGCCACCTCCGGAAGTAAGCTCGTATCCTTCTTCTCGCATCACAGTCGTCGGAGTTGTCTACTGTGACACTTGTTCTAGCAACACTTTCTCAAAACAAAGCTATTTCTTACAAGGTCAGACATCTTTAACTTATTTTAAAACATTACATGAACTTATCTTGTAACTACTTAGGATTGGTTAACTAGTTATGAACTTATCTTGTAACTTAACGGGGGTTTCTAAAAGGTGGGGTTCTTAGCGGAATCAGAAACAAAAGCTAAGAACCTGTTCATAAATGTCTTATATAATAGTAGGTTCTTAGTTTTTTTACAGTTTCTTAATTCCGCTAACAACACCACCCTTAAGAAACCCCCATTAATCATGTTCTTAGAATTGGTTTTCTTGGTACAATTTCGGTTTGATTCGGACCGGTTAACCGAGTCAAAAATCTCTGTCTCTATACCACAGGAGTGGATGTTCATGTAAGCTGTAGATTCAAAGCAAGCTCACCAAAGACAACAGAGGAAGTAAACATATCAGTAAACAGAACAACAAACAGAAGCGGCGTTTACAAGCTCGAGATCCCACACGTCGATGGTATAGATTGCGTCGACGGTATAGCCATAGCTTCTCAATGCAGCGCCAAGCTACTCAAAACATCAGACAACAACATAGGCTGCAACATACCCGTTTTTCAGACAGCAACCAACGAAGTATCCATCAAGTCAAAGCAAGACCGTGTCTGTATCTACAGCTTAAGCGCACTCAGCTACAAACCTTCTCACAAAAACACAACACTTTGCAACGGTGGAAAGAGACATAACCGGCGAGAGGAGGAGGAGAAGGTGGAGAAGAAGTTTAGAGATTCTGAATTCTTTTGGCCTTATCTGGCACCGTACTGGTTCCCTTGGCCGTACTCAACTCTGCCACCGTTGCCTACTCTACCTCCTCTTCCTTCTTTTCCTTTCCCGTTTCTTCCTTTAGCAAACCCTAATCCGGCTTTGCCAGCGTTTGACTGGAAAGATCCTACCACTTGGATACCTTATCTCCCACGTTTCCCTCCTGGTGATCATAATCTTTAGGGATCAGTTTACCTCCACATTTGGCTTTCTTCTTCTGCTTCTCTATTCTCTCTGTTTTTGCTTTTCTTATTTCCTCTGTTTTTTTTGGTGACTTACTTTGCTTGTGTGTTGTGTGTGATTGATTTACTTATTAATGTGTAAATTATTTTTTCCATTACAGAACATAAAGATTTGGGTTTTGATGGACTTTTGTTTTAATCAAGATTTTAATATAAAATAAAGTCTTTCACTCAAGTTAAAAGACTTTTGTTGTAGAAGATATAAAACCAAGAAATGAGTTTTAGAACTTGAGCTTCCAATGTATATGCAGGTTAAGTTCTTCTTACAATTAGGGTTTTTCAGCTTCCAGGCTATTCACTTTTGATTGTTAGCGTTTGAATGGTAGCAAAAACTTCCTATAGCATTAACCAAAATGAAATGTGAGTATATATGGAGCTAATAAAGAGTACTGATATTTTTTTTTTATCTCTGTGGGCTCTTACTTGAGTGAATTCATTCTTTAACTGGTTCTCCAGAGCTTGATTCTTAGCTTCAGACTGTTTGAACTGGTTCATATAAACAATAGAATCTATTATATTAAAATGAAAAATCTTCTGCCTCTCCAGCTTAGCCACAAGTTTTGTTTATTCACATTTTACCTTCTCTAATTCGATCTCAAGAAGTGCTTTCTGTTTCTGCAGCTTGGCCACCAGTTTTGTTGATTCATCTTTTAACTTCTTGGATTCCTCCTCAAGCAGTGCTTTTGTTGATTCATCATCTTTTACACTCTGCATCTTCTCCAAATATTTGTAAATATCTATTGGTTATAAAATGAGCTTTTGAATTTTATCCTATTTATAGTTACTGATTTTTATTAAGAAAAAGGCAGTACACCGGGTCAGATGACTTAGGACTATAATCAAAATTGGATAGAAAGCTTGTCAGCTCAACAACATTCGTTGCTCACAAAAACAAGAGAAGTAGCTGATAAAAGAAAAAAACAGTAGCTTAATTTTAACTGTCTTAAAGATTTTATTACTACCATGACTCCAACATGTAGTCCTCTTGGATCTTTACTATAAAACCCAAAAGCCAAGATAATGGAATCTTTAAGAAGACTGGATCTTTAGACTGGAGCGGACTCTGCTTCCATATACCTACAAATCCTCTCCATAACCTCTCGCCCTTTCACGCTATTTTGCATGAACTTCTCGGCGCACTTCTGCTCAACTTTCTCAGCCATTGAGGCCAGAGCCGACAAGGGTTTGATCCGAATGCTTGTCTCCTGGCTACAAACCGTCCAGGCCGATGGATTTTCTGGATGAGGATCGTATCTTATCCTCTCCTCCACCTCAATGAATTTTTTCAGACTAATGTTCTTTGTTGTAAGCTGAATCAGAATCCAAAACAGATGTATTAGGCTAATATAGATACTTCTCCATCAATATACTTCATTACAATCAAGTTTCAAGTCAAACAGATAACAAGAAACTAAAACCAGTTTCTCATCTTACAAACTAGGGTTTTTTTTTTTGCTATATATCTGATACTTGTAACAATTGTTTCACTAACACTAGTGCAATATAAGCTATAATCCACACACTAATCTAAGGTTGTCTATGCCTAATCACAACTATTGAAATGCTTCATCCTACTAATTAAGCTAGGAAGAAGGAGAAGATGATAACCTGCATGGAACGTGATTTGCCATCGACAACAGTAGATTCAACACAGTGACAGATGTCTTGGCCAATGATCCTGTGAAGGAACCATGGACCAGGAGCATGGATGGTGAGAGCACGTGTGGTGTGGAGTTTACCGGTGTCAGTGTCAAGTTTGCGGTTCAAGGTGTCGACTTCAAGGATATGAGAAAGGATGCGTTTGTTTTCAGGGTCAGAAAACTTCCTCCATGAGGCAGCACTCACCCGCTCCCACGGATGCTTGTAGACATGCTCTTGTTTATATGCTTTTACCATCAAGAAATCTACATAGATTGAAGAATCAAAACGCAGAACAAATATGATCCAAAAAAGAAATCAAAACCCAAAATCATGAATGTTTTGTATACATCATACAGATTAACTTCGAGCAGAAACACCCAAAAAGTTCTTTTATTTTTTTTATGTAACGAGAGATTATATTCAAAATAAATAAAAAAAAATGCCAGGTTATAGTGGGATAAGAGCTTACATGGATGCATCTAGATCAAACCAAAACAATTTGGTTCACGAAAGGTTGATTTTGAGCTAAATAACTTTCAACAAACAAAGATGTAATTTAAACATTCGATCGAATCACAGAATTCTAGTTTCAAAATCAACGAAACAAACAACATAGGCGACAAAATCTAAATATAAATTCGCATATTTAAACGAGACAATGATGGCAATTTCAGGCACAGTGGGATAAACACATTTCCAGCAAAGAGATGAAGAAAGAAACGTACTTACACAGTTGACTCGATGCTAATCGATTGGTAAGAAAATTGGGGAAGAGAAGAAGTACCTAGAGAGAGAGAGGCAGGCAATTGAAGATCTTGGTGAGCGTAGAATTAATATCCCTAAAAGTGGAGAACGTGACGAGAGGAATTAGAGGAGAAAGCAAATCAATGGCTGTCTGTAGAATAGTCTTTTCGAACCACAATGGTTTCTGTCTGAGCACAGTTTGGTGGGCCTTTGCAAAGCTCTCTAGAGAAAGTCTAATGTTGGGCTTTTACTAAAATTGTGTTTTGAGCAAAATAAAATATAAACATTCTCTTATTGCGATTAATCTGAAGTGTGGTAAGAAGATTAACTTACAACCTGTTGTGTAGTAAAAGCTTTCCAAGATTAACACAAAACATGCGAAGCCCAATAACCATTTCAAGGTTTATAAGAGATTCAGATGCTTACAAAATTTACTCGACACGATATAACTTGGATATATTTACTCACAAACCAATTTTATGCAGGTGGTCTGAGATATTAGTAATATAGTCATTTATAAAGAAAGATTGACTTTGTGGAGGACCTCTTGATATTACTCGGTTGCGCAAATAGCGATTACAAAATTTAGACCATTTATCTAACCGAAAAAAGAATCTTTTTTATACAGTGGTTGGACTAGCAGCTAGCTTAGCTTGTACTGGCCGTCTGAGAATATCAGTGATGTAACTCCGGATTTCAGGTATTATTGTCTTCATGAAGATGGGAAACCTACGAAAGAATAATATATAAACCTCACTGAGAAGGAAGTTTAATCCCAAATTTGTATAAATACTGAATTTTTGTTTTGCATACCACAATTCAGAGCTGAGCTTAGTGTAATGCTCAAGAACGAAGAGAGTGCACGCTCGTCTTAAGGCTGAAGCATTGAATGTATCTGCTAACTCGTACATGAATGGTATGTTATCCACACATATGTCCTGCACCAACATATCAGTAAAGACTATTTTAGTTATACACATAGATAAGTCACAAGAACCTTTGGTTTTGAGTATTTTACCTGCGCGATTGTGTACTCGCAAAGCCGTTTGAGGCCTTCGAGAAGATACTGATCAGCTGCTACCAACAGATCTTGAGCCAAATGTTTTGTGATGTTAACTCTTCCTGTGTATATGAATCTGCACCATTGTGTTTCATGCTTCAGATTCTTAGCTTATTATTATGGTAAATATTTTATTCTATAGAACTAACCTCATCATAAGCTCAAACACTTCCCAGCTTATATTTGGGATCTCCACATTTTGGGCGTTGCGTTCCTAAAACCATTTCTCAAGTTAGTTGATTAATATTTTGTATGATGAAATAGATAGTAGAATGATATATTGAAAAGGTTACCTTGTAAAGGCCATCAAACATTGCACGAAATATATCAGAGGAAGCTACCAAGCAAATCTTGTGAGCATAGAATTGTTTACCTGCCATGGAGATACTTAGTTAAAAAGTGTGATGACAGGTAGATTTAACAGAAACATAGATGGGACTTTATGTAATACCATCGATTAGGAATGTAACATCTGACAAAGTAGGGCTGTTCACGAATTCCTCACCCAAAAACGGCTTCAGTATTACAACCAATAACAAGTCAAGACCTCAAATCAGATAATTATATTTATAATTGAATAAGAAATGGGCTAATGGAGATTTCTCACCCGTTGTGTGGGTGAGGAAGGAGCTGAGTCCTCTGGTGCAAAGGATGTAGCTTTTGTAGCTAATTCGAATAAAGCTCTTGAACTATTCTTCTGTTGTTTCATGCTTGAGAAGTATAGAAGCTCCAACAAAAACTCAATTCCTGCGTTAATGATTCGTCTATTGATCAGGAACAGTATAAAGCTAACAATAAACCAAAATTCTGATAAATTTTTGAGATGAGACTATTACCATTGTTATCGATGAAAATTAGTTTTCCATCTCTAGGGTCACAAAGATGTGCAAGAGCTAGAGCAATTCGCATTTGTATAGTCTTCTCAGTGGTTTTCATTAGATATAATAATTGGTTTAGTACCTGAAAGAAGAGTATAATATCAAGGGACTATAGAACGAAGACCATACTTAACTAAAAACCAGAAGGTCTAACAGATAGGTACTCACCGGTCCATGAATTTTGTTCTCTAGTCTCTTCAATGTCCTCCCCACACAATCCCTAGTCGGCTACAAATAGAAGATTTTCGTTTTGCATTTTAGAAGTTGGAAATCATATAAATCGGATTTGCATTCATAAGCAGTCAAATGCATACTTGAACAGTGAAATTGTCATCTTGAAGCTTTTGAAACCCTCCAGCCTTTATGAAATCTGCTACGTTTTCCTATTTACAGAAAACATAGTTAAGTACTCATGGTATGTATAGCTAGCAAAAAGTATAGATGTACTGAAAACTATTCATTAGGAGATTAGGTTACCTCATTATCTGCAAGGCCATACAAAGCAAAGGCAGCGTTGTGTTGCACAGATCCAGTTTGCACATCAAGAAGATTTAGTAGTGAGTAAATGCCTCCTCTTTGTCCAATGCCAGCTTGATTGTGTGTGTCCTGCGACATTCAAAACATTGATATACGGGCAAATTAAGATATGCTTTATGCTAAAAGTCTGATTCAACAATTATCTATAAAGTAACAGATTCGAAAAAGCAACAAAAAGGTTCACATGCTTATTAAAAAAAAAAAACTACCTGAGCCAAGCGACCAAGAGCAAACGCTGCCATTTCCATGACCTGTTCATCTGATGACTGAAGCATCTTAATTAACGGGGTAATGGCACCTCTCTGGGCAATGTGCACCTGCATGATCAAGTTGCCATTTATGTTTTAATTATATGTTCTATTTACTTTGAATCCATCCTTTTGATATCGTCAAAACAAAGAGTTTGAGTGAGCATATATTCAGATTAGAGAACATCAATCTCAAGAAAGAAACAAGCTTATACCTTGCAGTCTGAATCAGGCGCAGCAAATTGACCTATTAATAACGCTGCTTCCCTCTGTGTCTCCAAACAAGTTGAGCTGTAGCAGATATCATAGCAAGCAGTTACAAAAGATGTTTCACAATATCAAGAGAAAACATCTATTTCAACAGAAGAGAGAAAAATAAGCATACCTAAGTAGACTGATTACTGGTTGTAAGGCACCAGCGCGGATAACCTCTTTCTTGATGTCAGGAGATGAGTGGACAAGATTTCCAATTGCCCCAATCTGATATTTCAATATTATATCAGAAAGGAACTAAACAAAGCAAACCAATTCCAACAATCTAAAGCAAGAAAAGAGAACCAACCGCTTCACCATGCACAGAAGGATCTTCTGACTGAAGCATCAATACAAGCGTGGGCAAAGCATTCAACTCCACAATCTGAGCCTTGTTCTCATCATTTCTAAATGAAACTGTACGCAAGGCCCCTGCAGCAGCCCTCTGTACTTTAACATCCGGAAAATCTAAAAGCTCAACAAGCGGTGGAATGCCACCTTCAACCCTGAATATGGTATTTTTAAAAATAGCTGTCAAATGAAAACAGCATAGCCAAAACCAAAACCATAAAGTATTATCAAATACTAAATCACACCTTATATTAGTTTTAATCCTTGGATTGTCATGAGAAATATTAGTGATTATATCAGCTGCTCTCCTAACAACAGCATTAGCTTCCATGCACCCAATACAAATCCCTCTCCTCTTCAACAACTTCACAGTGGGAGCTATAGCCCCAGCATCCACAATAAGCTGCTGGTAACCAGGCTATTAAACAAATAAAACCATCATTAGTAAACATCAGTGCAAGAAACAGTAAGTGATATTCAAAACAGTAGAAAAAAGATTCAGTTACCTGAATAGCAGCAATAAGTCCAAGCGAAACAGCACAATCTTTCTCCAGCTTATGATCACAAGACTTGGGAACGTTCCCGCTGGTTCCCGAACACCACGGCGATTCCAAGTATCTAACCAACGCAGGAATCACTCCATTCTCCACCATCATCTCCACGTTTTCGTCTACACAAATCAGTTACGAATCCAAAATCCAAAATTAAAGCCAGAAACAAATCAATCGCTAAATAGAATAAAAAAATCTGCATCGATTCAAACAACTGCAACACAAGATTGATTAATCCAACATAATCCAAAAATCAAATCTAGATCTCGCTTTAATATGAGCTACAACAAATCAATCGCTAAGTCGAATCACAAAACTTAATCGATTCAAATGTTGTAACGTAAGATTGAGCTATTAAATTCGATCTAACGGTAAGGAGTAAGTACAGTACCAGTTTTCGCCAGGGAGTAGAGAGCAGCAGCAGCTTCTTTGACATCTTCCGAATCTGAGAAGCTCGAGTTTAGAATCTCCACGTGGCGGCGGATCGCGGCGACGACGAGATCTATTTCTTCTTCGTCTTCTTCTTCGACCTCGGTGATCTGCGTGATTATCGAAACCGCGTATGTCTCCGGGCTTAGCTTTCGCTTCGAGCTTCTTCCTCCGGCGGTGGAGACGCGAGTTGTTCGCTGGCGCTTGTGGTGGTTCTCCATAGGTGGATGATGGTGTGAGATCGCGGGGGGACGGATGAGGAGAGGATTCGAGTGTGAAGTTGTGCGGTGGAGTTTGAAGGATTTGGAGATTTTCATTTGGAGAGGAGGGGGAGATCGTCTTCTTTATTAACACCAGAAGAAGCTTGCACGCGCTCTTTTCTGAAATTTTTTTTTTGAGTTTGGAGCCAAATATTTTTTGTTTAGGAGGGAATGTTTTCGAAATTTATTTTTTCGTACAATAATAACGGGCCTTTATGGGCTATTTTCAAATGGAATAAGGCCCGACCAATTGTTAAAATAAAAGCCCACAGACCACGAGTATAATATTCTTTTCTCTCTTCTAAAGTTGTTTTAACTAGGTGTTTTGCCCGCCATGCGGACTTAAGCCTTTTATAATTATTTGTTAGTAAATATATTAATAATAAAAAATTAGAAGCATAAATTATTTTTTGTGTTTTCATTTTGAAATTTTTTATTTAGCTTAAAAATTATTCAATATCATCTTTTCAATTATATAAAATTAAGAATTTTAATTAACTAATATGTATTTTATTCATTAAGGGTATAAACGATATTAACCGCTCCAACTTTTAACGTGAGAGCTCCGTTGCGAAAAATCACTTCGCAAATAATAGTATAGATAGATAGATTTTTAAATATTTTATCAAAAGAGAGTTTTTGGATAAAAATACAATATATATAGGAATTATCTTTTAAAAATAAAATATATTTTTAGATTTTGGATAACTCTTATTGTTATTATTTAAAATAAATTATCTAATTAAATAAATTTAAATTCCTTTTTATATTTAATTAATTCATATAATTTATTCATTAAGAATATAAAAGAGGTTTAGATAAAGATAAATTGAAAATCATTGAAATTCGTTTTTTTAAATTTGATTTTTTTGTAAAATAAATTTATTATATTAATTATTCTCAGTTATCTAAGATAATAACATACTAATCTAATTTTATTTTTTAAATTTCGTTTTCAATTATAAAATTAGTTATATATAAAAAATTCATTAAGGGTGAAATTAATTATATAATAATAAATATAATTATTTTTCAAGGTTGATAAAGACTTTATCACATAATATAAAAAATTAATAAAGATAATTATCAAATAAATAAAATTCGTTTTTAATTTATAATTAATTATATATTAACCAATATAATTATTTTTCAAAGTTAATATAGACTTTATAACACAATATAAAAGAGTTTTAGATGAAGATAAATATAAAAGAGGTTTAGATAAAGATAAATCTAAAATCATTGAAATTCGTTTTTCTTAAATTTGATTTTTTTATAAATTTATTATATTAATTATTCTCAGTTATCTAAGATAATAACATACTAATATAATTTTTATAAATTTATTATATTAATTATTCTCAGTTATCTAAGATAATAACATACTAATCTAATTTTATTTTTTAAATTTCGCTTTTAATTATCTAATTAGTTAAAGATAGAAAATTCATTAAGGGTAAAATAGATATTAACCGCTCCAACTTTTAACGTGAGAGCTCCGTTGCGAAAAATCACTTCGCAAATAATAGTATAGACTAGGTGTTTTGCCCGCATATGCGGGCTTAATTATCTTTAAATCAATTTAAAAATCATTAAAGTAAATGATTATTTGCATCCAAAACATTTGACCTAAAACATTAAATATTTTTACATGATAAAGTTATTCCCGAATTAAAAAAAAAACCTTTTTTTTTCCTTCAAAACTTTGAAAAATCTAAAGTCTATTTCATTTCTTCTTAATTGATAAAAATATAAATATCTATCTTTCAATTTAAAAAAAATTGAATCGATAAATATACATTCAAAAATTGAAATTACAGAAAGAATAATATTAGTTTGAATAATAATACAATATATTTAAATTTATTTTTGTCAAACACGTGTTTTCTTTCTTTTTATTTTATTATTATTAATGTATGTTTAAGATTTAATTATATATTAAAATGAATCATTATATTATATTATTACATTCTTTTAATTTGAAATTAATTACATATTATACTTTTTCAATTTTTTTTTTTTTCAATTATATACAATTAAAAATTTTACTTTAAGAATATTTATTTATGTGTTAGTTTGGATAATAATACAATATATTTAAATTTATTTTTGTCAAACACGATTTTTTTTTATTTTTAATGCTTTTTATTTTATTATTATTAATGCATATTTAAGATTTAATTATATAAAAAAATAATCATTATATTATATTATATTATTACATTCTTTTAATTTGAAAATAATTAGGTATTCTAGTTTTTCAATTTTTTTCGATTATATACAATTAAAAATATAATTACGTATTATATTTTTCAATTTTGTTTTTTTCAATTATATACAATTAAAATTTTTAATTTATGAATATTTATTTATGTATTTTCTGTTTTTGAATTTTTTTTATTAAAATATATTTTCTGGATAACAACACAATATATATATGAATTATCTCTTTTTATTTTTAAGTATATATTTAGATTATGGATAATTTTTATCATTATTATTGATTTAAATGATTTACCTAATCAATTAAAGTTTAAATTCGTTTTTATTTTGGCTGATTTATATATTATTTTCATTAAGGACATAAACGATATTAACCACTCCAACTTTTAACGTGAGAGCTCCGTTGCGAAAAATCACTTCGCAAATAATAGTATAGATTATTATTAATGCATATTTAAGATTTAATTATAGAAAAAATTAATCATTATATTATATTATATTATTACATTCTTTTAATTTGAAAATAATTACGTATTATATTTTTTTTCAATTTTATTTTTTCGATTATATACAATTAAAAATATAATTACGTTATTATATTTTTCAATTTTGTTTTTTCAATTATATACAATTAAAATTTTTAATTTATGAATATTTATTTATGTATTTTCTGTTTTTGAATTTTTTTTATTAAAATATATTTTCCAGATAACAACACAATATATATAGGAATTATATCTTTTTATTTTTAAATATATATTTAGATTATGGATAATTTTTATCATTATTATTGATTTCGATTAAAGTTTAAATTCGTTTTTATTTTTGGCTGATTTATATATTATTTTCATTAAGGGTATAAACGATATTAACCACTCCAACTTTTAACGTGAGAGCTCCGTTGTAAAAAATCACTTCGCAAATAATAGTATAGATTACCTAAATCACAGAAAATTACAAATTAATCAGCAAACTCACTTAAATTTTATAATTAAAAAATATATTTTTAAGATAACAATCTAATACAAAATAATTAATATATTTTCTAAAAATATAATATTATTAACATAAATTCGTTTTTATTATATACTAAATTATTAAAACATGAAAATACGTAAAATAACCTAAAATCATGGAGAAGTTGACAACTAAGCAAATTTACTTCTCAAATAATGTTATAGATAGATTAAGAAACTTAAATCTCTACATAACATAGTCGTAGGGGATGTAGCTCAGATGGTAGAGCACTCGCTTAGCATGCGAGAGGTACGGGGATCGATACAGTTTTGTAATGATTGGAGCTCGCGTCTTTACAGCACTCGAAAGACCATCATTAATCTTTTGTTCTTCCCCAAGATAACGACCCGACCCGTTTCCAGATTATCACACGTCGCCATGAGCACCACCACCAGCAAAACGCAAGATGAGATAGCTAATTATAAAAATTGATCTTAGATGATGCAATTCAGAACACTGTTGTTGAAGCTCCTTGGTTCAAATCATGTCGGAGATTGTGTGCTTACATTAGCTGCAAGTCTCTTAACGAAGTTGACACTTGTCAAATCTTGTCTAAGATTCTCCAACATCCTGGTACTACTTACTGCTCTTTGATTGGCAGAATTGGACAGAAGGAAGCTCCTTTACACTTCAGTGACTAATTGTGATTAGTGATTGGTTTAATGGCATTGTGTACCTTATTATTATGACTAATGAGATTGCATCTCTGTGTACATAGGTTGTCCTGAGCATAGCCAAGTGAAACATTGGCTTAGTGCCCCTTATTATTTTTTTTTTAAAAAAATTATAGAAAAAAGCTCCTAAATTTGTAAAAAAAAATTTATCTGTTGATTCCTATTCTTTCAGTGCAAGTATCTCAGTTTCACATTTTGTTACTTGTTTAGATCCAATTCCAAATACAGTGGCAGATAAAAAGCTATATGTGCCTTGGGTAGAGGATAAAAAGAGTAACATGCGTATGCTGCACATATCTCACATGGATGATCTCATTGCAAACTCTATGAACATTTTGGAACCAGCTCTAGTTGATTCTCTTTCAGTGCAAGTATCTCAGTTTCACATTTTTTTTTTTTTAGCTTTCCCTGAGTTCTTTGATTTATGTAGTGTGGTGATTATCTCTGTTCATAGAATGTGAGCTCAGGAGCTTGTGTTTGGAGATGAAGCTCATATCACTTGGTTCATTGGCAGTTGGACGATGCATGTTGGATTTTGCTAATACGTCATTTGCTCACACAGAAAAAAACAAGAAGCTAGACCTTTTGTATGTAATCAAATATTTATTCAACTTAAAACGCGAAATAGTGATTACAAGTTTACAAGCAAACATCTATTAGAGTGGTTTGTGTGTTTCCTCGTCCTTTCTATAATGACAAAAACGAAAGTAGTAGGAAGGAGAGAACTAGGAGGAGTAAGAAAGCATGCAGACGCCTGGGCTTCTTTGGCAAAGATAGTTCCTTAGAATGTACTTTGGGTTCACCGAATCCATTCTTGGTTCTTTATTTCTTAGAGCATCTCCAATCTCACTCCATATTTTACTGCAAAATGGAGTGGAGAATGGAGTAATGAAGAAACAAAAATCTCATTATTCCATATTTGAAGTAATCACTTTTTTGTTTCTTCATCACTCTATTTTGCAGTAAATTATGGAGTGGGCCTAGAGATGCTCATGTGTTACTACCACTCACCTACAATTTCAAACCCACACGCATAAAGGAGTTGCAATCAACTACAAAGATACCTAGGGACAAAAATTGAAACTGTAAGCAACTTTGATACCTCCTGTAACAGCACCTTAAATGAGCATTAGACAATAGAACATTCTACTTTTTTTTTTAGACAAATGCACTAGAACAATCTACAAAGTTGAAATCTTTAGCCTGAGTACAATCCAATCCAATCAACTCAACTAACAGAAAAATCCAACATTAAACGTAATACTGAGTCAAGTATTTATAGCTCTTTTGTGGAAGCGATGAAGCGGTCGGAGGTTGAAGAAAGACGTCGGAGTTTCGGGGACACAGGCAGAAACATTTGTTTTTTTTTTCTATTCCAGTTTTTGTTGAATTAAATTTTGGACCGAACCGCCTTTTCCTTGGTTTGTTTGCTTCAGACCGGCTTTACAAATGTCGGTTTACTTTCCAAACTGATTCTTTTTGGTAAATAAAACCTATTTTCAGGCAAACGACTTTACCTGAAATTACAAAAAAACGCGTACCGTTGACAAAATAAGACCGGATTAATTTGGTATGAAAGCGTACCAAAGCAAACCGGATTTAAGACAGAACCAAATCAGATACGAGAAACGACAAGCTTTGCCAATCTATCAACTGGGAAAAAAAAAATTAGGGCAAAATATTTGTCGATTTCACGTCCGCGACTCAATAGATTTGCTCGGAGAAATCCTTCACGGTTTTGTCAAGTAATTCTGACTAAAACGGCGTAGTTTCAGCTTCCGGGAGATCTAACGTTCTCTCAAAATTGAATTGCGTGTGAGAAAGTTTCTTCCTTGTTCGAATCTTCAGATTTGTACATCCGCTTTAAGCTCAAATCTATGATCTTTCGGGAGTAATTTTTCACCATGGAAAATCTTGGCTGATAAAAAAAATTTCGAGAGCAGATCCAAAGAACAGCCACCATAAAGGTAATTGCTTTTGCACTATTTCTCTGTGCAATTCGAGGCAATTAGGGTTTTAGAGAAAGTTTAATTCTTGTAACAAATTTTTTTCTTGATTCTTGGAAATTTATGTAGTTTGAAGGAAGCTCATGAATTTGCCAAGGGTGTTTTGGTTATTTGTTCTCTAGATTTAAGAATTATGATGACCTTGTTTTGTGTTTCATTGTTCTGTTGAAGAGTGGAAATGTGTTTGGTATTTTCCTCCGTTTAATGTTTTTTTTTTTTTTCTTGGTTTTTGCAGCTTGTGCATTGGGTGGAACTAGACAGGTCTCATTACCAAGTTTTTTGATTTCTTTAGCTTCCATTGTGAAGCATCATCGAGAAAGGACACACATGGATTACCGACCTTCTGATAGTAGTGGTGAGTCTTTTGTCTTCTTTCAAAAGTTGTTCACTCTTAGCCGCTTCTTAACTAGTTTAGTGTTAGTTTCTGTCTCTTTCTGATATTAACTATAGGACGTTCCTTTTTCTGTAACTGTGTTTCCATGCTTTTTCCTGTTAGAATTGCTCAAAATTTGGATTTTAAAACTGATTTACTATGTTTTGTTTGTAAAATTGGTTACTGTCTGTTTATGGATATGTTTTTTGTTCTGTGGGGACTAAGGTACGGATGATGACTTACCTCCAAGTAGATATCAGAGAAGTGGGAGACCTGCTGGTAATGGTAGACCTTCAGTTCTCAACACTGCTCCTTTATCAAGGGTGCACAATGACATGGAAACTCAAATTCATCTCATTGAGCAAGAAGCTTATAGCTCAATACTCCGTGCATTTAAAGCCCAGTCTGATGCTATTACCTGGGTACTTATATTACTTTTCTTCTTCATGTTTATAAGTCCATGCTTATGTAACTTAACCATCTATAAAAAAATATTCAGGAGAAGGAAAGTTTGATCACTGAACTCAGAAAAGAACTTCGGGTGTCTGATGAGGAACACAGAGAGTTGTTATCAAGGGTTAATGCTGATGAAATGATCAGGCGAATAAGGTGTGTGTTTTTGGTTATATTTTAATCAAAAGCAAACGTTCTAGCTAATGGAGTTAATTTGAATCATGTCAGGGAATGGAGAAAGGGGAATAGCTTTCAGTCTGGTGCTCCTCAGATGGTTCATGATACTGTTCCAAGTCCAGCTGTTTCAGGTTCACGTAAGAAGCAAAAGACATCACAATCAATCGCTTCGTTAGCTATGGGTCAGCCATCTCCTGCTATGCACTCATCAATGCAACCATCTTCATCTGCGCTAAGAAGGGGAGGTCCTCCACCAGGTCCAAAGACCAAGAAGCCAAAGACAGTGCGTGACTCTCTTACTTTTGTTTCTACACTAGTTCCTAAATGCTTCACTGACTAAGTGCTGATTTTTTTTTTAATTATTTGTGGTTGATAAAGTCGATGCAGTTCCCAGCTACAGGCATAGCTGGAAGGCCCCAGCCTGGCGCAGTAACAGATGAACCAGACCCGTTGGTTGGAAAGAAGGTATGGACTAAGTGGCCTGAGGACAACAATTTCTATGAAGCTGTTATAACTGACTACAAAGAGGTATCTTATCTTACTAATATATATATTATTGTTTTAATGCCAAATCTCCATTTTCTGATATTATATTTTATTTTACCGTTGTTCAACATTGATAAGGGGCGGCATGCTTTAGTGTATGACATGAACACTGGGAATGAAACTTGGGAATGGGTAAATCTTAAAGAGGTAATATCAATGAAAATGTTGTCTTATTCTATTTGTTTATGATCTCGATGGTTCTTGGATGCTGATTGGTCTTTCATAGATATCTCCGGGGGATATCAGATGGGAAGGTGAGGATGCTGGGGCTTCTCGTAAAGGACATCCTGGGCAAGGCCGTGGAATTACAAAGGGCATGGCTCGTGGTGGTCCTGCAGGCCAAGCTAGTGGTGGTAGAGGTAGGGGAAGCCTGAAGCTTCAGCAACACAAGGCACAGAATGGCATCGGAAAAAAAGCTTTAGGAGACATCGAAATATTCCACACTGATACACTAATAAAAGAGGTATTATTCCAAGTTTTAGATATTTAGATTAGGGAAATGAATCTTCATTATTGTTATCAATCTGAGTATTTATTTATAAATATTTTTTACAGGTAGAAAAAGTTTTTAGATCCGTTAACCCCAACCCGGCAGAGGTGGAGAAGGCAAAGAAAGTGCTAAGAGTAAGAAACAGATTCCTTCGTGGTGTTGTTGAGTTCTGGTCTCTTACTCCACGGTATCATGTAAAAGGAAGCTGACTATATAGTTTTTCTTGGAATATAGGATCATGAGCAAGCTCTTGTGGATGCAATTGCAAGGCTTGAAGATATATCAGACGGAGAAAGTGGTAATATTTGATAGGGGCTCCTTCCAACTCTCCTCAGGTTTCACATCTTTCTTACTGCTCTTAGATTCATGCGGTGTAATGAAATAGAAGTAATAATGTGGCCGTAATCTTTTGGCATAAACGCAGATGATTGAGTGAGGGCATTGGACTGGCTGAAAGGTGTAGATGGTGGTGGCAATGTGAATGGATAAGGGAGATTGGGGTACTTGTATGGATAAAGCAAACTGTATTTTGTTTAGGTAGAGGATTTATAAAATGATCTTTATGCCACAAATCTAAGGCAACTGGATTGTAAAATCTATCAGATTTCATATAAATGTAGAATTATGCATAGACAGACAGGGATGAGATGTAGCAACAATAGGATCAGCATATAGATGTGGCAGCACCTTTTAGTAAACTTTATTTTTTTCTTCTACAACGAGACAGATACATAATAAAAATCAATAAATTTCGAAACCGATTATCAGCGATATTTAAGTAACTAAAGATTCGGAGATAAGTTGGAAAACTCACGAATAACATCAAATGATAAAAGACGCATTAAAAACAAGTATGACACAAGTTGATTACAGTTTTGCTCAATCTTGCTTCTGTTTTTGTTTTGTAAGAAAAAGGTTTACAATACCAAACAGGTAGTCTTTTGGCTTTTCACGTATTTAAACAAATAAGATTTACTACAATGTTTTAGAGACCAAACTTCTTAGGCCTGAGGTAAGTGGTGCCTTTCTTCATGCCAGGACCTGAAACCTGTTGCTGCTGCTTAGCCCTTTTCCTTTTCTCTCTCTCTTTGCTTCTCAACTCCGCCTCCGCCTGATCTCTTCTCAGCTTCTCCATCTCTTCCTCCATTGCTGTTTTCTCTTCCTTCTGCTTCTTTTTATGCTCCAACATAGACGTATCCGAGTCCTTGACCGAGAAAAACATTGGTCCTAACTCAGCCAGCCAATGCGCCTCAACAGATGTAGCACACTGCATGTACTCTTTCGTGGTTAAGATCAGTTCATGATACACCACGTAATCCGGTGTGTATCCTAGACCATACAGTGCACTGCTCGGGTGCAAATGGCAAGGCATCCCAGTTCTACAATTCACATACTCACCTACACCTTTTAATCTAGCTGAGTTATGGAAGTAAGCTGAGCATATGGCTTTTCTAACAATGTCCCAATCTGGGCCACACGACTTGAGTGGTATCTTGAGTTGCTTGAGGATATCCAGAAGCTGGGATCGTACTTCTCTAGCTTTCCTCAGACCTTTGACTTGCAGGTAATGGTCATTGCACCAGTCTCCTCTGTAGTCATGCTCTTTCCATTGCTTATATACATTCAGTAGCGTCAGATGATCTGACTCCGGTACGAAAAACTTCTCCCTCGCCGCGTCGCTCTCTTCTGCTCTCTCTTTCGGTCTGAAGAAAACTGAAGGTACTGAAAGCATTGACACGATGGTCAAGACCTCGTCTATGCAGTCAAGCCGTTCACCCATTAAGAGCATCTTTGCAAGAGGTGGATCCAACGGGAATTCCACCATCTTCCACCCAAGATCAGTTAATCCTCCAACGTTGCTAAGAGCACCCAACACCCAAAGCTGGTACATAGAGTTCAGGATGTTCTCTTGTGGAGGTGGGTCCATAAAATCAAACTCTAGCAAGTTGTCTATTTTAAGCGACTTCAACAACAACACAACGTTACCCAAGTTCGTTCGCTGAATCTCTGGCACGGGACTCGGCAACATCTCATTTAAATATGCACTCTCTGTATACAGCCTGTAACATGTTCCTGGCCCTGTCCTTCCAGCTCTTCCTGCACGCTGATCAGAGGCAGCACGACTAATGGGGAAAACCTGAAGAGCATCCATACCCATTCTAGGATTGAAAACCTTCATCTTTCCATACCCCGTGTCAATCACATAGTATATTCCATCGACTGTCAATGATGTTTCAGCGATATTGGTGGCAACAATGCATTTACGGGATCCATCTTCTGGTTTCTGGAATATTTTTGCTTGCAAGTCAGCAGGTAACTGAGAGTATATAGGGAGAATCAGTAAGTTCGTGATTTCTCTGGTGGATGATGCAACGAGCTGTTCCATTCTCTCCTTAAGAGAAAAACACGCCGCTTCAATCTCATCTTGCCCGGTCATAAATATGAGAATGTCCCCAGGTGGGCTCGTTATGTGAATCGTCATTGCCTGTTTAACAGCGGCTTCAACATAGTCTTCACAAGGACTTTTAGAGTAGAGAATATTGACAGGGAAGGTCCTTCCGGGAATGTTGAATACAGGAACACTGCATTACCAAAGTAAAAACATTGCCATATAAGAATTCAATATTAGATTCAAATTTGGGTTTGTCTGAAAGATAGTATTTACCTCCCAAAGAAATCGGAAAACTTTTGAGCATTAAGGGTCGCTGACGTGACTATCAGTTTGAAATCACGACGCCGAGCCACAACTTTTTTCAGTATTCCAAAAAGGACGTCGGTGTTGAGTGACCTTTCATGCGCTTCATCCATCACTACCACACTATACAAAGTCGGCAACAAGGTTAGAACATCATATCTACTTAAACCAGTTTATAGCATGATCTGTTAGAGGTAAGGTTGATGCATACATACCGATACCTATCCAGGTCGGAATCTTTAAGTGTCTCTCTCAGTAGCACTCCATCGGTCATGTACTGTAATTTCAAAAGGAAATATGAAGTTTCATAAAATTTCAGCGTTATAACGAAGGGTAGATGCTAAAAGCCAAGTTTTACTCGGAAAACTAAACCAGAAAATCATAATTAAGCAAACAGGCAGTTCATTGCTTGGAAACACCTTACCTTGATAACAGTATTTGGACCAGTTACATCTTCAAAACGAATTGCATATCCCACTTTATCGCCCAACTCTGTTTCCATCTCTTCACTAACTCTCTTTGCAACACTCATGGCTGCTACACGCCTTGGTTGGGTGCAACCTACTATACCGTTTACAGTGTACCCGTCCTCGTGAAGATACTTAAAAAAAAGAAATAAACTATAAGTTCAATGATTTAATTGTCTCAGAACTATGTATTCTCTGAAAAACCATAGTAAGGTAGCAACCTGTGTTAGCTGAGTGGTCTTTCCCGAACCAGTTTCTCCAACCACCACTATCACCTGGTTTTCTCTTATCACCTGGAGAATGCATTAAAAACAGATAGCTTGAAGATTACTCATTAGAAAAATAAAATAAAAACAGGAATCCCCTGAGGTAATAAAGCGCATTATATGTCTATGACCCAAGTATCAAGGCCCCTAAAGGAAAGATTACCAACCTGCAATAAATCATCTCTAACAGAAAATATGGGAAGATACTGTCGTTGCTGTGCCATGGTCTTTGACATGGCAAATTCACTCACGGCTTCTCCCTTCTTCATATGTTGTGCAAATTTAGCCTCGTTCTTAAAGTCTACTTCGCCTTCGTCACCAACTACAGCAGTATCGGCATCAATCTACAAGAAGATCACAAAGTCACAATAGATCCAACAACATTATCAGTAATGAAGTGAAAAGAGCCAAAAGCCATGAGATGCATTACCTGCTCAGCTGATTTTTCAACACCAAGGATGTTACCAAGGTTAGAACCTGCAAGCTCCCAAAATCGCTGTCGCGATTTATGCATACTCTGTTTCTCCCGAATTTCTCTCACAAGACCCGATCCTTTTCGCGAAATTATAGCCATGTCAGATGTGGGATCCTTTATAGGCATTACTGGCTCTGCTTGCTTTGTGAAAACGATTCTTCCATCAAGGAAAGGCGGCTTTGTATCTGCAATTACACAACAAATAGAGTATTACTTGCTATGTTACATATACTCCTATATCAGCCTTGTCGCTTTATGGTGAACTTTGAGCTATTATAGTAATCTACATACCATGTACAAGAAGAATTGCTTTCCGTTCTTCCTCGCTATCAAACTCAGTCTGCACTTCTGTGCCTCTAACAGCTCCAGATCTGAGAAGCTGACGGTCTTCCCACTGAGCATTATCTGCATTAAGTTGAGAGTATTTTTTACTCTGAGCGAGGGACATTTTGCTACCGTCCCTTCTAACCTGCATTATAATTATTACTAAGTGTTAAAAATATTTAGTCTACTGCGTTCTTAAGCAGAAAAAGTCAGAAAATCGCCATGCACACCTAGAAACTTAATACATAAGCCAACATAGTTTAGCTGGAGTACACTCAGTCACGCGCAGTGGAAGGAGATGAGACAGTTAGAATGAATTAAACTAGATAACTTATGCAAAAAGAAAAAGACTAGACACAGATACGAGATACAAGCAGCATCAAATAGAAAAATCATAGAGAGTTGGTACAGAGACATACCAGTCTTTTTGCCAGCTCAGCTTCCTTTTTCTGCACAGCAGCGTCATCTCCAAGAAAAAAGGATGCACTATCTGCATCAAACAGTGAGTTCCCTTCGTCCGTATCATACCTGTGAAACGACAATCATCTAGTTCAAACAGGCTTTACATAATCTGGAAACTGTTTAGGAACTAACATGAAGAGTGGGACAATACTCTTAATTCATAACACATTATTGACTTTCCAATGTCCAATTTACTGCCTCTAAAAGGAAACTAAATACTTACCATGCAAGATCCGAGTGATATTCCATTTCTCGACGCATTGTGTCTGTGATCTCATGGTTAAATTCTTCAGCTCCTTCCGATCTCTCCTCATCTGGATGCCCCTTTAGAAACCATGACAACATGTGGCACACGTATTACTTAAACCAAACAATTTATTTAATGCAAGACTGCACGATAACCATAATTCTCATCAACATTCTTCAAGCAAGCCTGACAAGAACTTGTTGAAACACGGGAGCAAAACAGAAATTCAGATATATCTGACAACAGGTGGCATGACCTAATCCTAACTACGAATGCATACCTCCATGTTCAGATCGCCTTCCCTAAAGTCTGCACGTTGATTGGATCTTCCACCATACCTTGAGCTAGAGGATCTGGCAGAGGACCCAGAAGCCCGGATTGGGACAGGAGAAGGTGCACCAATATCCCATGGAGAAGCAGAAGCCACTACATGTGCATAAGGATATAGTAATAAACCCTATCGTTAGTTTGGGCCCATGGAAACAACTAAATAAAACCAACTTACAAATAATAAATTTTACACACAACATACTTGTTGAGCGTGGTGTATCCAGCCAAGGGGAGGCCAAACGAGCATCTGGTGAAGCTGCAGCTAACATGGGTGATGGAGAAGGTTGATGCCGTTTGCTGTAAGTAGAGTCTCTATCTCCACGTGGACTATCTTCCCATTCCCATCTTCCATCATCCCAGTCTGACCTACCTGCATTTTTTGTGTTAATAACCATTGAAAAGGTTCACTAAATGTTGTGTTGGTGACATTTTCAGGCTTTTAGGAAAAAACGATTTGAAAACAAACATATTTGTAAAGAGATAAATAAAAT